CCAATACACCCCACCCCCTCCCAATACACCCCCACCCCCTCCCAATACACCCCCACCCCCTCCCCTCCCAATACACCCCACCCCCTCCCAATACACCCCCCACCCCCTCCCAATACACCCCCACCCCCTCCCAATACACCCCCCACCCCTCCCATTACACCCCCTCCCAATACACCCCCCACCCCCTCCCAATACACCCCCCACCCCTCCCATTACACCCCCACCCCACCCCCTCTCAATACACCCCCACTCCCTCCCATTACACCCCACCCCTCCCCTCCCAATACACCCCCACCCCTCCCATTACACCCCACCCCTCCCCTCCCAATACACCCCCACCCCTCCCATTACACCCCCACCCCACCCCCTCTCAATACACCCCCACTCCCTCCCAATACACCCCCACTCCCTCCCATTACACCCCACCCCTCCCCTCCCAATACACCCCCACCCCCTCCCATTACACCCCCACCCCCTCTCAATACACCCCCACTCCCTCCCAATACACCCCCACTCCCTCCCATTACACCCCACCCCTCCCCTCCCAATACACCCCCACCCCCTCCCAATACACCCCACCCCCACCCCCTCCCATTACACCCCCACCCCACCCCCTCTCAATACACCCCCACTCCCTCCCAATACACCCCCACTCCCTCCCATTACACCCCACCCCTCCCCTCCCAATACACCCCCACTCCTCCCAATACACCCCCTCCCCTCCCCTCCCAATACACCCCACCCCCTCCCCTCCCAATACACCCCCACCCCCTCCCCACCCAATACACCCCCACCCCCTCCCCACCCAATACACCCCCACCCCCTCCCCTCCCAATACACCCCCATCCCTCCCCTCCCAATACACCCCCACCCCTCCCCTCCCATTACACCCCACCCCCTCCCCTTCCACCATCCCTCCATCCCCCCATGCTCTCTTTAGGCGAAAGGATGTTAACAACATTGATCATAAATCCGAATAAATAAATGTATGCCGGAGAAATCCGATGAGCTATGAAGCTCATTTTTTCTCTCACTGATGTCCAGTCGGGGCACGGGGTCATCACGTGACAAACACGTGGAATGGTAGGTGGGGGTACTATCCCAAAATGTGAAACGTATTAATTCGGGCCTTACATTGATACAACAAAAATAAACCCCAAAGTAGTTTCTCTCGATCTACTGAGCGGTGCGATGCAGTATGCGGAATGTTACAGTCAGTAACGTGCCCTCATCTCACTCAGTTCCTTGGCCTGCCACGGGATGACTGCAGTCTGTTGTTATCGTGCTAACGTGATTCAGTAAAACTCAGGTAACGCCTCGCTTAACGCGCTTTTCGCTTCGCGTGGAACTTTTGACCTCCTTTCAACGCAGAAGGGATTGGTGACATTCTGTACATGCGACAAACAAGTAACCGTTTTTGTGGTTACCGGTTTTCATTCTCATTCGGTTACCGGTAATGCAAAACATGAAACCGGTTTTTAACAGCCTTGGTTTGTTTGTCCATGCCATTGCAGGGCGAGACGCAGACACAGACTCCACGTCCTTGGGGGCACGTGACCTCACATTCCGACCCTGCAATATTGTCCAGGTGTGGCCAGGGAATGCCCGTTCGTAAACACATTTGAATTATAATAATTAACTTTTGTAAAGTGGTGCAGTTCATCCGTAGATCCCACCAATGCGCCATCGCCGTGTATGAAAAGCCAGTAAATAAACACGGGCAGAACTAGGCATCGAGTGAAGACAAATTTACCCACTCACCCGCTCACTCGCCCGCTCGCTCGCCCGCCCACCCACTCACCCACTCACCCACTCACCAACTGACTCACTCACCCACCCACCCACTCACCTACCCACCCACTCACATACCCACTCACCCACCCACTCAACCACCCACTCAACCACCCACCCGCTCACCCACCCGCTCACCCACCCACTCACCAACCCACCCACTCACTCACCCACCCACTCACCCACCCACCCACCCACCCAACCACCCACTCACCCACCCACCCACCCACCCACTCACCCACCCACTCACCCACCCACCCACCCACCCACTCACTCACCCACCCACTCACTCACCCACCCACCCACCCACCCACTCACCCACTCACCTACCTACCCACTCACCTACTTACTCACCCACCCACTCACCCAACCACTCACCCACCCACCCATTAACCCACTCACCTACCCACCCACTCAGCTACCCACCCACTCACCCACTCACTCACCCACCCACCCACTAACTCACCCACCCACTAACTCACCCACCCACTCACTCACCCACCCACTCACCCACCCACCCACCCACCCACTCACTCACTCACCCACCCACCCACCCACTCACTCACCCACTCACTCACCCACCCACCCACTCACCCACCTATCCACTCACCTACCCACTCACTCACCCACCCACTCACTCACCCACCCACTCTCCCAGAACCGGGGTAAACGGCCACAACTAGGCAGGGGGTAAAGGGCAGTTTAAAGAGGTGCGTTTTCATGACAGACGCAAATATATCGAACGATTCTGATTGTCTTGCGAGCAAAGACAAAGGGTTCCATCATCTGAGAGCTGTGCTGGCAAAAGCGCGATGCACAACAGGATCAGAGCCTTGACCTCTGAGTTACGATTAATAACTAGTTTCTGTTGGGTTAGATCGTCGTGTGAGTATAATTATTGTGTAGGTCCTTTTTTGTTTTCATAGCCCTCCACCACCCGACAGAGGCAATGAGGATCAACTTGTGATGGTGGGCCCCGTGGTCATATATGCAGATTTATTTATTCAACAAAGCCCGGGATTTGCTCACAAGTGACGACACCACATGTACCCGTGTGTTTAAGAACCGAGCAAGAGAAATTATCCACAACTCTGGCTGTTGCCTGATGATGCTCGTTGTAATTACCGGCGAAATGTCGTCCTCGAATTGTAAATGTTGTGTGTTTACTCTCCAACACAATAGTTTAAAGGGTAAAAACCTATCACTATATTTTGCCACTGGTAAAGGAGGTCTCATAGTGTAAATGCTTACCCCGAGCTCTCAATACTCTGATAGTGCGCTGTTTTTGAGTTGTACGCCTTTTGGCGTCTTCTGGTCCAACACCAGTGGAGACTAGGCTCTAAGAAAAGCTGTCTCGGGTGTGGACCAATCAACTTCAAGGACAGTGCATATCATTATCAGAGTTGTTTATTTTTGTTTGCATTTTGACTGCTTGTGTTGGGGTTATTGCAAACATGATGCCTTGTATAAAGGTGTCAGTTTTGTACCAGTTTAAAGGGTAAAAACCTACTACTAGATTTTGCCACTGGTAAAGGAGGTCTCATAGTGTAAAAGCTCTGGTTTAGTTTGAAGGCGTCGGAGGACCCCCCCCCCACACGGTGGAGATTTACCCCGAGTCCCGGACCCCCCTTTGGACGACCCTGCCTGTGGATGGACTCCACCCCGTCATAGGAACGTGGAATTCCCACGACTCTACAGTAGGGCTGAACGATTTGGGGGAAATATCTAATTGCGATTTTTTCTGACAGATATTGCGATTACATTTTTTCAAAGTCAAGCTTCAGTTCAATATTCACTGTGTAATGGATTTAAAACACGTTATGGAGCATTACCACGTGATACCATCAAAATATGAACTACTCTATATATTTTTCGATTTAAATTTCGATTTAAAGCTTTCGTGATTACAGGGATTCATCTTCTTGGTTCTTTCGGTAAAGTCACGTAGAATGGAAATAATAAAATAATAAAAATAAAACATAATAAAATAATTCTCACAACGTTTCGGCCACAACGCAAGCAGCCGTCCTCAGGTGGAGAACAGGTCTGTCGAGAAGACAGAGTCTGAATGACACTCCACTCTATATATTCCGATTCAAGGATGAGAACTTTATAAAGATATGAATTGCTTCCAACATGTATTCATGAGCATTTTTTATTGAAATAGAACAATCAAACATAGAACGATTGCTAAGTTAAATAAAGAAAGTTATAATAAAAAGAAATAAAACAATTCCGATAAGAAAGTAATAGGACTTTTTAAATCGCAAAAAATCGCAGCCTTTGCAATTTACCAATCGCATTGTTTCAAATTGCGATTTCGATTTAAAATCGATTAATCGTTCAGCCCGACTCTGCAAGGGCCGTCCATAAATGACGTCACGCACCTAGGGGGGGGGGGGTCAGACATTTGTGACGATGTGTGACGAGGGGGGGGGGTGAGAAATGTGACGTCACATCAAAATGCGCAACTTTAAATAAATATAGAATTCTTATAACAACACTAATTGTTATAACAACACTCCTACAACATCAGAGTGCAGCGCCACATTAAACACACACCACAATAACAATAGTTTAAAGCGATTTGAAGCATGTTTTATTTTCAGAATGGAAATGTGTTTTTTTTTGGGGGGGGGGGGGCAGAGCTTTGGACGTCATATTTGAGGGGGGGGGGTCTGACTTTTTGTGACGCCATGTGACGAGGGGGGGGGGGTCAAAAATCGTTCAAAATCGCGTGACGTCATTTATGGACGGCCCCACAGTACCAGCTCAGCACTTGCAGACACAACGAACGCTCCCCGCACGTGACCACGTGCACGCTTTCCCGCGCTTTTTCGACTTTCGCGCGTTTTTTTCATGTCGCGCGCGCTCCGGCCAATCACGACAGGCCGCGCTCATGCGTGATAGAAAATACAATCGCGCTGCCGAGACCTTCGCGTTCTCTACGAGACCCCCGCGCAGCGTTCACTTTGCATTGCATAGCACGGATAAGCAGGCTGGAGCACACCACGTGCTGGCGCGGAGCCAATCGTGTGGCGGGATCGGAAAGGGGGGGGGCGCGCGAGGGTAAACGTCAACGACTCTCGATTCCGATTCCCGCGTATCGATTGCCAGACTTAATTTTCGTTCGGTGATCGATTCTTTGACACAAACCATTTGGGCCGATTATTGTCTCCCTTCCCCGCCACCGTTCTTCTCGACGCGTCGAGATAATCGATACGGTTTGCCACGGATTCCAATGCGCTCGCTGGCTAAACCAAAAGTCTAAATTTGGGCTTCTAATTCTGGAATCGATTCGCGTGTTGGTGGTGTCGTGTGCGAGTCGAGGAATCGGTTTGGCCACCACCACCACAGACCATGGCGGAGGCGGCGGTAGTTGTTGTTGTGGGCGAGGAGGAGAGGCCCAGGCTGAGTCGTCTCCCGCTCAGCCGCGTCAAGAGCATCATGAAGGCAGACCCCGACGTGGCGCTCGCAGCCCATGAGGCGGTCTTCCTCATCGCCAAGGCCACGGTGTGTGTGTTGTTGTGGTGATGTGTGTGTTGTTGTTTTGGTGTGTTGTTGTGGTGGGGTGTTGTGGTGGTGGTGTGTTGTTGTGGTGGTGTGTTGTGGTGGTGGTGTGTTGTTGTGGTGGTGGTGTGTTGTTGTGGTGTGTTGTGGTGGTGGTGTGTTGTTGTGGTGGTGGTGTGTTGTTGTGGTGGTGGTGGTGTGTTGTTGTGGTGTGTTGTGGAGGTGGTGGTGTGTTGTTGTGGTGGTGTGTTGTTGTTGTGGTGGTGTGTTGTTGTGGTGGTGTGTTGTTGTTATGGTGGTGTGTTGTTGTGGTGGTGGTGTGTTGTTGTGGTGGTGGTGTGTTGTGTAAACTTCGCCACTGGGGGAGACAAAGGCGGTCGGGCGTGGTTGCTGGCCACCCACCCCCTCGTGTGCCGTGCCGGCCTTAATAGGTGCTACTCGCTAACAGCACTTGCCCCTACAGTCTGTTCAGGCTACACGGGGGACCTTTGTCTTTGTGTGCGCGCGTGGCAGGAGTTGTTCATCGAGGCCATAGCCAAGGACGCCTACGGATTTGCGCTGCAGGGAAAGCGGAAAACCCTGCAGAGGAAGGACCTGGGTGAGGCCACTCACCTCACTCACCAGCTCACCTCACCCACCAGCTCACCTCACTCACCAGCTCACCTCACCCACCAGCTCACCTCACTCACCAGCTCACCTCACCCACCAGCTCACCTCACTCACCAGCTCACCTCACTCACCAGCTCACCTCACTCACCAGCTCACCTCACTCACCAGCTCACCTCACTCACCAGCTCACCCACCAGCTCACCTCACTCACCAGCTCACCTCACTCACCAGCTCACCTCACTCACCAGCTCACCTCACCCACCAGCTCACCTCACCCACCAGCTCACCTCACCCACCAGCTCACCTCACTCACCAGCTCACCTCACCCACCAGCTCACCTCACTCACCAGCTCACCTCACCCACCAGCTCACCTCACTCACCAGCTCACCTCACCCACCAGCTCACCTCACCCACCAGCTCACCTCACTCACCAGCTCACCTCACTCACCAGCTCATCTCACTCCCAGCTCACCTCACTCACCAGCTCACCTCACCCACCAGCTCACCTCACTCACCAGCTCACCTCAATCACCAGCTCACGTCACCACCAGCTCACCTCACTCACCAGCTCACCTCACTCAACAGCTCACCTCACCACCAGCTCACCTCACCCACCAGCTCACCTCACTCACCAGCTCACCTCACTCACCAGCTCACCTCACCACCAGCTCAACCTCACCCACAGCTACCTCACTCACCAGCTCACCTCACTCACCAGCTCACCTCACTCACCAGCTCACCTCACCCACCAGCTCACCTCACTCACCGAGCTCACCTCACTCACCAGTCACTCACTCACCAGCTCACTCACCCACCAGCTCACCTCACTCACCAGCTCACCTCACTCACCAGCTCACCTCACTCACCAGCTCACCTCACCCACCAGCTCACCTCACCCACCAGCTCACCTCACCCACCAGCTCACCTCACCCACCAGCTCACCTCACTCACCAGCTCACCTCACTCACCAGCTCACCTCACCCACCAGCTCACCTCACTCACCAGCTCACCTCACTCACCAGCTCACCCACCAGCTCACCTCACTCACTAGCTCACCTCACTCACCAGCTCACCTCACTCACCAGCTCACCTCACCCACCAGCTCACCTCACCCCCAGCTCACCTCACTCACCAGCTCACCTCACTCACCAGCTCACCTCACCCACCAGCTCACCTCACCCACCAGCTCACCTCACCCACCAGCTCACCTCACTCACCAGCTCACCTCACCCACCAGCTCACCTCACCCACCAGCTCACCTCACCCCCAGCTCACCTCACACACCAGCTCACCTCACTCACCAGCTCATCTCACTCACCAGCTCACCTCACTCACCAGCTCACCTCACCCACCAGCTCACCTCACTCACCAGCTCACCTCACTCACCAGCTCACCTCACTCACCAGCTCACCTCACTCACCAGCTCACCCACCAGCTCACCTCACTCACCAGCTCACCTCACTCACCAGCTCACCTCACTCACCAGCTCACCTCACTCACCAGCTCACCTCACACCCACCAGCTCACCTCACCCACCAGCTCACCTCACCCACCAGCTCACCTCACCCACCAGCTCACCTCACTCACCAGCTCACCTCACTCACCAGCTCACCTCACCACCAGCTCACCTCACCCACCAGCTCACCTCACTCACCAGCTCACCTCACTCACCAGCTCACCTCACTCACCAGCTCACCTCACTCACCAGCTCACCTCACTCACCAGCTCACCTCACTCACCAGCTCACCTCACTCACCAGCTCACCTCACTCACCAGCTCACCTCACCCACCAGCTCACCTCACCCACCAGCTCACCTCACTCACCAGCTCACCTCACAACAGCTCAACAGCTCACCTCACTCACCAGCTCACCTCACTCACCAGCTCACCTCACTCACCAGCTCACCTCACCCACCAGCTCACCTCACTCACCAGCTCACCTCACTCACCAGCTCACCTCACTCACCAGCTCACCTCACCCACCAGCTCACCTCACACACCAGCTCACCTCACCCACCAGCTCACCTCACTCACCAGCTCACCTCACTCACCAGCTCACCTCACCCACCAGCTCACCTCACCCACCAGCTCACCTCACTCACCAGCTCACCTCACTCACCAGCTCACCTCACTCACCAGCTCACCTCACCCACCAGCTCACCTCACTCACCAGCTCACCTCACTCACCAGCTCACCTCACTCACCAGCTCACCTCACCCACCAGCTCACCTCACCCACCAGCTCACCTCACTCACCAGCTCACCTCACTCACCAGCTCACCTCACTCACCAGCTCACCTCACCACCAGCTCACCTCACCCACCAGCTCACCTACCACCAGCTCACCTCACTCACCAGCTCACCTCACCCACCAGCTCACCTCACCCACCAGCTCACCTCACTCACCAGCTCACCTCACTCACCAGCTCACCTCACCCACCAGCTCACCTCACTCACCAGCTCACCTCACTCACCAGCTCACCTCACTCACCAGCTCACCTCACTCACCAGCTCACCTCACTCACCAGCTCACCTCACCCACCAGCTCACCTCACCCACCAGCTCACCTCACTCACCAGCTCACCTCACCCACCAGCTCACCTCACTCACCAGCTCACCTCACCCACCAGCTCACCTCACTCACCAGCTCACCTCACTCACCAGCTCACCTTACCCACCAGCTCACCTCACTCACCAGCTCACCTCACTCACCAGCTCACCTCACCCACCAGCTCACCTCACTCACCAGCTCACCTCACTCACCAGCTCACCTCACTCACCAGCTCACCTCACCCACCAGCTCACCTCACTCACCAGCTCGCCTCACTCACCAGCTCACCTCACCCACCAGCTCACCTCACTCACCAGCTCACCTCACTCACCAGCTCACCTCACTCACCAGCTCACCTCACTCACCAGCTCACCTCACCCACCAGCTCACGTCACTCACCAGCTCGCCTCACTCAACAGCTCGCCTCACTCACCAGCTCACCTCACTCACCAGCTCACCTCACTCACCAGCTCACCTCGCTCACCAGCTCACCTCACCCACCAGCTCACCTCACTCACCAGCTCACCTCACTCACCAGCTCACCTCACTCACCAGCTCACCTCACCCACCAGCTCACCTCACCGACCAGCTCACCTCACTCACCAGCTCACCTCACCAAATTAATAAAACTGACAATTCCACCCCCTTCCCATAGAACCGTCGCTTCTTGTTAAATTCCCCGGAAGCCACGTGGCATTCTGGGGTGGGGGGGTGGGCGTGATGTCACGCGGCATTGGTCGCAGAACACGAACTCACCACCTCGCTCACGTTAGCCGGCTCGCTCGCCTCGCCATCCGCACCAGCACCAGCGTACACAACCCTCACCAAGCACAGAAACTCGCCCTCATCACCTCGGCTTACTTTGCCCAGACAACCCCGGAACTAACCTCACCCATGCCTTACCAGCTCATCCACCCGCCGATTAAAATCTCCCTCGCCCAGCGCGCCTCACCCATATGGCCAGATATCAGTTGCCGCCTCACCAGCCTCACCTGACCCTCACCCAACTCACTCGCTCACCTCACAACCCCGATCATCGCTCGCCCCACTCAAACCTCGCCGGCGAGCATCCTGCGTCACGCCGCCACGCTCACCTCAACTCACCTTCGTATTTTGTTTGCGAATGGAAATACATTACCTGGAAAAAAATCTCCCTCGCGACGAGGGATTGGTCACCCGTGTGGCCATCGATGACACCGTAAATCCCCCCCCCCCACCCGAAAATTACCGGCCCCCCCACTGCCCTCATCCCCCCCCCAACTCCCAGAGAAAGGGTCAGCCGAGGTGATACACAAACCCGCACGCTCCGGGGGTTGTTGATGGATCCGGCGTCGCCCGGCTCTGCGCGCCCGGCCCATTGTCTCTCCCCTCCGCGTGGACGCGATGTGCCGCCAGGCCAAGCACCACCGCCGCCAACCTCCCTCGTGCCGGGTGGAGCGGTGGCGCAGCGGTCGGCGCGACGTCGCCACGCGGACGCTGTGTGCCGTCAGGCCGGTCTCTCGGTGGTGGTGATGTTAACTACCTCGCCTGGTGTGCAGGAGGCCATGGGTTCGATGCCAGACCCTGACGCCTGTTTGGGGTTTGCATGTTCTGTCCGTAGTCACGTGGATTTTTCTCCAAGTCCTCCAGTTTTTCCCTCCACATTTAGAAACATGCGTTAAAGAGTATTTGGCTGCTATAAATGTCATTTGTGGCCAGGTTGCTTCTGAAAAAGAGCTCTATAGCTCAGTGGGACTTACCTGGCGAAGTGTTTTTGTTTTACCTTACTACCCCGTCACCTCTCTTACGCTGGGTGGAGAGAAGTCCAGGGAACTCGAGCCAGATGCCTCGCGGTCAAAAGGGACAATGACGGCCGACGGTTGAGACTAATAATGGAGCGGCAGCCAAGGAACGGCACCCGTCCGTGAGGAGGGGGAACCACCGCGGGAGGAGATGGAGCGAGGTGCCGGGTCGATCGTTGGATCGTAGGATCGTGACAGGTGGCGATGGCTTGGAGAGTAAACTAAACTGTAGAAGTGTTTTTTTTTGTAGCTCTTTTTGTCGAAGTGACCTGGCTATCACAAATGATAGCTCATGTGGAAATTTATAGCGGCCAAATATTAAGCTCGTGTTGATTCTAAATGTTGAGGGAAAAACCGGCGGACCCGGAGGAAAATCAATGCAGCCACGGGGAGACACGAGACGCAAACTCCAAATGTACAGCAGGCGGGGATCGAACCCACGACCTCCTGCATACCAGACAAGGGATTTAACATCTCACCACCGCCTTCATCTAGCAGTGGATTGATTATGGCTGATGATGATGATGATGGCCGCTGAGAATACGCGTGCGCACGTTTTACGAGCGTGAGTGCGGCGAGGTTGTGTTTGCGCCAGAGGTCGCAAACGGGTTTTGATTCCTTACCCGTACCCGGCCGCACCAGGGTCACAAACAGGTACCCATACCCGGCCGTACCCTTACCCTACCCGTACCCGGCCGGGTACGGGTAGGGTACGGGTATTGCCGGGTAGGGTACGGGTATCGGATACCTAATTGCGACCTCTGGGATGAAGCCATGTTGTAGGCGCGGGTGGGTTGATTCTAGGAACTTGAATTGTGAGAAGAGACAAGTCGTTGGGAAATGAGTGACAGTTACTCACCAGTGACTCACGGTCTTCCCGTACCCGGCCGCACCAGGGTCGCAAGCGGGTACCCGTACCCGGCCGGGTACGGGTAGCCGGGTATCGGGTAGGGTACGGGTATCGGGTACCCGGTTGCGACCTCTGGTTTGCGCCCCGACTGCTCTCACCCCCTCCTCCTCCTCCTCCTTGTCTCCCTTTTTTTGTGTTGCCGCTGCCCTCGACGTCGTTCCTGCTGCAGACAACGCGGTGGATGCAGTGGACGAGTTTGCGTTTCTAGAAGGTGAACAACGACCTCCTTTGCCGCGTCTCTCGCCACAGCTCGGGCAAAACACGCACGCACAAAGACAAAGATCTCCCGTGTAGTCTTAATAGACTGTTGGAGCAAGTGCTGTTAGCGAGCGGCACCTATGAAGGCCGGCACGGCACACGAGGGGGGTGGGTGGCCAACACCACGCCTGGCCGCCTTTGTCTCACTAGTGGTGATGTTTACACACCGCACCAGGTATTCATTTGAGGCTCCACACACAGCTCCACGTCTCGCCCAAGATTGTTACTTAGCACCGACAACCACAGGAGATCAGGAGATGGGTCACTGCTTGCATTAGGGGTTACGGGGGTGGCAGGTGTGTGTGGGGGGGGTACTGCGTCTTGCCAGGGCCCCTCTCCCGCGAGTGATGACCGTCACGCGCACCCCGT